TGGGGAGTAAATAACTATTCAGAAAAAGGGAATAAGAACAACCATAAATCGGCCCCAAAGTAGCAAGAAGCCGGCGGGCGGGCTGCAGAAATTAAAACACAAATCTACTGTGACACTAGACTTGATGCTTTCCAACAGAAAGAGTAACTCAGGACTGAAGGGGAAAACAGAAAAACCGAACAGTCAGACTCGCCAAGCGCCAGCAGGCTCGGAACACGCAGAGCCGCAGAGGCAGCTGGGTGGAGTGGTGCTGATGTCCACTGAGGCTCCGGGACTGTGGCTCAGCCAATTAAATAATACTGTCCTTGTTCTAGCTGGGCCCATTTCCGGATTCCTCCCACTTACCATCCCCGAACAATTTGAGCCCACTTTGTGGGTGATCTGGATGATTTTTATTCATGCAAATCCAATAACTCTCTTGGTCCCTTAGAAAGTCCAGGCAAATAAATCACCTGTAAGAACTAGGAGTGCCATCAGTCATTGGTGCCATTTTCCCCTCCTGCGATGGATTTGCATGTGTCACCTTCCCAAGGAGAGGTCAGTGTCCTCAAGTGACTCTCAGTTCTTCAAAGATAATAGGAGAGGCAGATGGCAAGGAGAATCTGTCCCTCCTTGGTACTCATTTCAAATGGAAGCAAATACAAACTCTATGATGCCGGAATCTCTCGCTCTTGCCATGTTCCCGTGAGTTAGTGGGTAAGAACACTATGGGGCCAGCATTCTTCTCTGGGTTTGTGGGCTGGCTCCTACAGGCAGACCCCTGGTCACTCAGCGGGAGCTGGCTGCCGGCTCTCAGAGGACACATCTCTGGGAGCAGGACTAGGATATGCCTTTCCCGAAATTCCAGAGTGATAAAAGTATGTGTGTGTGTGTGTGTGTGTGTGTGTGTGTGTGTGTGTGCATGAACATCTCAAGATATACAAAAAGTTGAAGGAGGAAGGCTATCAAAACAGCATGAAAAAGAGACCGAAGAAGTAAACAGAAGGCATGTCAGGAAAGAAAATAAGGGGTAGATGTCAGAGGTGGCCAACTACAGCAGCGGAGTCAACTCCAATTCAGCAGCAACAGTAGACACACGCCAGGTCCTCCCAGGGCCTTTTCTTCTACAAACGTTTCAGAGGAAGTTTTACATGATTACGGGCTTACTGTAACTGGAAGGGATTGTTTTAATGGGGCACACCATGTAGGCAGGTTTCAGATGAAGAGTAAGGGGCCCCACTGCAGACACTGGCTAAATTGTGGGCTGCTGTTGAAGTTCCAGGCCATTCTCCCTAAGGCCTTCTGCTGCCTTTTCCAGACCAACACGAGCTGCACTCTGAATTCTGCCTTTTCCAGGAGTGGTATCGGGGTCATGCTCATTTGCTGGGAGATATTTCTAAAGGCCTGCAGTTGGTGAAGCAAGTGCCTGGGAAGCTGAGATGAGCCTGAGGAGGCAGCAGTAATAAGAAGTGGTCCCAGGCTCACACATGATCATGGACAGCAGAGGTTGGCAAAAGGCTGCCCGGGAGCCAAATCTGGCCCAATTTACCTGTTTGTGTAAAGTTTTATTATAACACAGTCATGATCATTAGTTTACTTATTGCCTGAGGCTGCTTTTACACTAGGCCCCACATCAGGGAATTCATGGATGCTGTCCGGCTAGCAGAGCCTGAAATGTTTACAATGTGAGCTTTACCAAGTGCCAACCTCTCATTTACAGGAATAGCTCATGCCCTCAGCTACCCGTCCCTATCCAAGGTTCACTGCCAACAAACGGGAGAGTTTTTAGGAGCCATAACTGAACTCGCTGAAGGGAAGGCACTGACAAGTACAGATGTCTTCAGGAAGCTGCTACCAGAAGAAGGCTTACTGGTCTACTGAGGTATTTCCTCTAAAAACAGCTTTGCCACCCAGGCTTTGGGAATTATATTTTCAATTTCATTTTAAAAAGATACCCATAAGAAACTCATTTGAAAAGACGAGGATCCTCTTTTTAAAATTCACAGATTTTGCTAAGTGTCTTTGCTTTAATCAGATTGGTATACTCACAAATAGAGGGCCTCAGAGAAATGGGAAGGATTTCGTTTGTGTTGTGGTCTTTTTGTTGGTGGTGGCACGGAGGGGGGCGGGGCAGGGGAGAAAATTACTTAGAGGAGAGGCTGCCTGGGAGGCCGGGACCTTAGGGGATGGGTACCACAACAGGAGTTTAGAACAGAATGAGGGTACTAGGATCCAGGCAACCTGTGACGAGGCGGGGGGGAGAGGGGGAAGGCGACAGCAAGAGAGGAGGAGAAGATACCTGGAGGCTAGAGGGTTCAAAGGTAAATACTGCTTAGGATCAGCCCTGCCTTCTGAATTAAAAAAAAAAAAAGTGAGGAGGAAAGTCATTTCCTCCTTCTCTACCACCACAGAGCCCTTGGCTTGCTAAGTGGCAAGCCCAAGGCCCAGCACACCCACTGGCAGTGGGCCCTGCTCCCTTCCTCCACTGACCAGTCACAACGTTGCTTCCCACCTTCCTATCTGCATGGACCTTCTCCCTCCTTCCAGGCTCTGGCTGCTTTTAGGCTAAAGACTTTTAGGCTAACTCTCCACCTCAAGTCTAGTCTTCATCTAGCTCACCATTGCAGGGACCTTAAAACAAAAACGGGGGCCCCTCAAAAGCTCTGTCACTCACTGTAAAGCCATCAATGAGCCACAGACCTGTAAAATAAGCCACAATTCCTTAGTCTGGAACTAAAAGCATGGGTTAAACATTTTCACTTAATAGACTATTTATCCTTGAATTTAAAATTTAAAATTTTTCTACTGGTGGATCACACTGTACATGCTATTTTTCTGCTCTAGAATGTCACTCCATTTTTGTGGGTGTTCCTGTGGAAACCCCACGGAATAGTCAAACACCCCATCCACTGCACCCTCCCTGGTCCCTGGAAGGAATAAGATAACCCTCCTTTAGATCTTATATAGCAGCGGTCCCCAACTTTTAGGACCCCACAGACCACCAGTGGTCCACCGACCACCGGTTGGCAACCGCTGCTATATAGCATATGGCTCCTAAGAATTTATTGCACAGAGAGATCCAAGATGGCTGCGCCCAGGTGAACACCTAGCTGCAGCCGCACACAACAATTTCAATAAAATACAACTAAAATATAAAATGGACATTGCCCAGAACTACAGGAAGGTTGACTGACTGGAAATTCTACAGTGAGAAGCAAGGAGAAAACCAGAAGGAGGCGCGGAGGAGCTGGAAAAGCCCAAGGTACGGAGACACGGCGCGCGGAGAGGACGGAGCCGGAGAGGAGGGATAAAACTCCGACTGTGCTGGGCCCCCGACTGCTCTGAACTCCAGTTCTAGGCCAGACCCCGGGGACTCAGGCTCAGCCATAGGGAGCCGGGCTGTAAGGTGGAACCCCGGGGAAGCAGCGAAAGGAGGTCCCGGCTTCGAGCACATTGCGCGCAGAGAAGGGACTGTTGGCTGTGTCACGGCATTGCCCTGACGGGAAGGAGACTGGGGCTCCAGACTGCTCTGAACGCCACCTCCAACTCCACTTCCAACGGAACTGAACCCCAATACCGGGCTCATTGGGGGAGAGCATAGACTGTTTGGCAGCAGGCGAAAATCGAGGGCACCTTTCTCTCAGAGGCACCAGCAGCGAGCACTGAAGGACCCACATAGGGCGGGGCTGACGGAAGCCAAGGCTGTAGGCTCCACCCTGAAACCCCATCCCATCTGTAACTGCGAAATGCGACAACAAAATAGATCACAAACGAAAGAAATGGAGGACAAAAAGCGTCTGGATATAGAGTTCAAATCTACGCTTATAAGGTTTTTCAAGAATTTCCTAGAAAAGATGGATAAGACCTATGAGGATATGAAAAGAGATCAACTAGAATTAATAAGGAGTCAACAAGAAATGATAAGGGATCAACAAGAAATAAAGAATACATTGTCTAAAATAAAAAATATTTTACAGAGTCCTAAAAACAGAAGGGAAGATCGCAAGAATCAAGTCAAAGATTTGGAACATAAAGAGCCAGAAGACACTCCTTCACAGAAGCTAGAAGGCAAGAGAATCCAGAAAATTGAAGATAATGTAAGAAACCTCTGGGACAACTTCAAGCGAACCAACATCAGAATTATGGGGGTCCCAGAAGATGAGAGAGAGCAAGATATGGAAAACATACTGAAAGAAATAGTGACAGAAAACTTCCCCCACCTGGTGAACGAATTAGACTTACAAGTCCAAGAAGCGCACAGAACTCCAAACAAAAGGAATCCAAAGAGGACCACACCAAGACACATCATACTTAAAATTCCAAGAGCAAAAGACAAAGAGAGAATATTAAAAGAAGCAAGAGCAAAGAAGGTAGTTACCTATAAAGGAGCACCTATACGATTGTCAGCTGACTTCTCAACAGAAACCATGCAGGCCAGAAGGGAATGGCAAGAAATATTCAAGGTGATGAATAGTAAGAACCTACAGCCAAAGATAATCTATCCAGCAAAGCTATCACTCAGAATCGAAGGTCAGATAAAGAGCTTCACTAATAAAAAAAAGCTAAAGGAGTTCATCAACACCAAACCAGAATTATATGAATTGCTGAAGGGGGTTCTTTCAGAAGAGAAAGTAAACAAAGATAAAAATTATGAACAACAAATACGTAACTATCAACAAGTGAATCTAAAAACCAAGGAAATTAAAAAAAAAAATCTGATGAACAATAGTATCTGTTGACTATAATAGAATCAGAGGTATGGAAGGGGAATGAACTGATGATTCTTGGGGAAAAGGGGAGAGGGGGACGTGGGAAGAGAATGAACATAAACTGTGCACCTATGGATGAGGACAATGGGGGGTGGGGAAAGGGCAGAGGGTGGGGTGGGAACCTGGTGGAGGAGAGCAATGGTGGGGGGAAAAAAGGAACATTTGTAATAATATGAACAATAAAAACTTATTAAAAAAAAAAAAGAATTTATTGCACAGAACAGGGGAATATGAAAAATACAGAAAGAAATGTAATTCATTATGGAATATAATACATTACTACAAGAGAGGAAGACTGTGTGTTGTGTCTTTGTATCCCCCAAAGCACTGGCTCACATGGTGGCAAAGTCAAGCTGGCTGAATCCTGTGTTGATTCATACTAAGCCCGGTTGTGGGTACCTGAATGCCAACTCATCAACTCCTGAGGTTGTGTCTGGTAGCAGTGGGAAGAGTGTCAGGAAGAATTAGAAATGTTTGCTCTTGGAGCTGAAGGGGGTGGGTGGGTGGTGTGTGTGTGTGTGTGTGTGTGAGAGAGAGAGAGAGAGAGAGAGAGAGAGAGAGAGAGAGAGAGAGAGAGAGAGAGAGAGAGAGAGATAGGCCACCTATTTGCCACCACTAGCTTTTAAGATAATTTCACAAATATTTATGAACATATTTGTTTCGAGGGGAAATAAACGTGAAACAACAGTGTTACCAGCACATTTTGAAAAATTTAGCTACCTTGCCATTTATATAAACTAGGGGAGGCATCTTCCTGATTTTTAAGTGCTAAAATGGGACAGATAACAAATGAGATTGGCAATCAGAGACAGTCGAGACGACAGAAAGCTGCGCAATTAGGAAAGTCCCTTCGAAAAATTAGGGGCTTTCGAGTCCCAGTTAGGAGCGGAGGGAAAGTCACTTCAAGCGAAGAAATCCAAGCAAGAGCCAGAAGGGAGAGGCCTGGTTTACCTTTTCTGCAAATGTCATTCACTGAGCTAAGCCAGTCACTTACATAAAAAACTGGGCAACGAAAACCAAGCAAACAAACAGCAAACGAAGACGTAGGCAAGCAAACACTTGGGTGGGGAGAATTCTATTCATTTTAAGCAGCTCGATTTCTTTGAGAAATTTCTGCCCTGGATTCCACAGGGCACCTTCTCTTTTCTTGCATTTTACTTTGTTTTTAGTTCTTGGCTGTGTACTTATTGGGTAAGGTGTGGTGGAAAAAAGAAATATACCAAAAAACTCCACACCTCCCACTGCTCACGAAGTCTGAGGTGGTGTTGTTCTGTTTGGAGCACTCAATGCCTAGTAGTCTAACTCCGTGGTGGGCAAACTGTGGCTCACGAGCCACATGCGACTCTTTGGCCCCTTGAGTGTGGCTCTTCCATAAAATACCATGGCCTGGGCATGTCTATTTTGAAGAAGTGGCATTAGAAAAAGTTTTAAAAATTTGGCTCTCAAAAGAAATTTCAATCGTTGTACTGTTGATATTTGGCTCTGTTGACTAACGAGTTTGCCGACCACTGGTCTAACTGATCTATGCACTGTCAGAGGTGACTCCGTCATCTGCCTTAAAAAAACCAGCACAATAACTGGAATGGAAACTACGTGGAGAGATCCTGTTTCTCCTATGAGAGTAAGACTCTGATTGTGTATCAGTGCCGTCTCTATTTCAAGTCTCAAGAGACACATACATCTCAATGATTCCTGTTCTCTGAAAGACTGAGCGAAGCTCATGAACGAATTAGCTCTATTACCTCAGACAGAGGTGCATAAATGAGTCACACCTACTGAGTTCCCTGTATAACTGCCATCATTCTGCCTACTGCAGAAGACATTTTTATTTCAGTTTCATTTCTGAACCAACACTTTCCTTGAAGTTAATATATCCTACTTTGCATTCCTATGTGAGAACTAGAGATTGGAACTCCCCCCCAAAAAACAGATATTCGTCCTGGTGATCTAGAAGGAGTATTTATAACAGGGGGTAGTGCTGAGCAGCATCCTGGCATCCGGTAATGGACAGGAAGTAACTTCTCGGAAGGGAGAGGTCCCTTCAAGACTTCCACAGTATTATTTGCATAAAATAAATTATTTGGAGGGCAAAGAGACTTTTTACATGCTCCAGTAGCCCATGCTTTATTTTCACTGAAGTTTGCAGGAATTTTTTCAAATCTAAATGATGCTAACCAGGTAACACACTAAGGAGATTTCACAATGCTCCGCGCTGTGAGGCCAGGAGGCACTCCCGACACAGGCTCACCCATGTTAGCCCAGCATTACCGCACTGATGCATACATGCACGATTAAGCACAAAACCATCTCAAAGGAGATGAACATCTCTGTTAAGTGCTAGCACTCTCCTCCCACACTGGGCTTCCCCCACTTGGAAACTGCCATCCGTCCCCAGGGTGCTCACCCCGCTTGGAAGACCACGGCAGCACGAGGCTAAAGAACCGCATTTGCTTTCCGATGCAGATCACATGGGCTGTTTACTTCCTTGAGAAATGCAAACTGCTAGGATGAAAACGCAGTGCTGAGCCAGGTAGCGAGTTGGAACAGGCCCCGGAAACTGTGCCATGGGAATCAGCCTAACTCAAACCTCAGCAGTTTCCTGGGCAATCCATCCAAGGCCAAATCATTATTCTTATCTTAGATTCCCCCTCCCACCCATCTAAATAATCACTTCATCTCCTTAGATCTGAAACCAGACCAAGCCAAACCAAAGCCACCCCACGCGTGCATCTTATTTTCATTGGCCAGCGGTGATTGCAGCCTGGTCTTGCTTATCTTGCTCTGGCAACGTGACATACGGCACTGAGTTTAAAGCAACGTCTTCTAAAAGGCCATGCCCTCGGAAGTGTGGCTCAAGGAATGTCTAAGTGAACCGAGACCTACTTGGGAAAGTCTGGGACTTTGAGGGGAACAGGGAGGGAGTTCACAGTTGCGGGCAGTGGAGAGAAAAAAATACAATTGGGGAATTGGGGTAAGTACGCATGGCTGCTGGACTTGGGCTAGTGCCAGGATAATACAGCTTCGGCATCAGCAGTTGCAGTCTGTACACCAGGGTGTCCGACGAGGTGGTGAGAACCTCGATGTGCAAGCAGGTCTGTGCTCACAAAGACCCAGTGCGGCTGGGGGGACCTGTGACTCCAGGTTTCCGGTATGCACCGCACACGCCTCGGCCTCGTACCCCCGATCATAAATTATAGAAAGGAGGGAGGCAGTCGGGAGCCTAAAAGCTCCCCTTATCTCAAAACCACCCACACAGAGGTCCCGAGGCCTCATCCAGTCCTCAGCCAAGAGGAGCCTTGCCTCTTTGCACTGTGTCATGGAAATTGCCATACGGCCAACAGAGGGTGTGCTTGAACCTGCTGCTCCTCCCAGCAGCCACCATCTCCCAAAGGTTTGCTTTTCAAAATGTGGGTGAGCGTCGGATCGCCTGGGATGCTTTTGAAAATAGTCTCCTGGGTCCCACCCCACTCAGACCTGCCAAACAGGCCCCTCCAGTGGGAAAGCTGGGGGGCCGATGGTCAGCTACATCATGGGAATGCTTTCCTTGGTGTGTTCACCTTTCCTCTCCTGTCTTTTTTCTGCTTTTCCCTCATAACTGACTACAGCCATAGTGTGACTTGTCTGGGGAACATGTCTGCTATCAGCGGAGCTCAATGGTCTTCTCTCTCACCACTGATGTCTAGCCCAGTGGTCGGCAAACTGCAACTCGCAGTTTGCTGCTCTGTTGACTAATGAGTTTGCCGAACATTGGTCTAGATTAGGGGTGTCGAACTCAATCAGAGAAGGGGCCAAAATCTAAAATCCAGCCTAAATCGCGGGCCGAATGGTTTACTGAACAGTCATAAACTGTCACTGTGATGGAAACGCAGCGGAGTGCAGTGATGACAGCGCGGTGCGGGCCACATTCCAAGGCCTGGCGGGACGGATTTGGCCCGCGGGCCTTGTGTTTGACACATGTGGAAATGCAAAGTTTGGACGAGCTAATCTCCAAGGTCTCTGGCACCGTAGCTCGATTTCACCAGAACGTGCATCTTGGAGACCGGCAGGCCCATGGTCCTTTCCCTGGTCTTTTCACTCACATCCCACTTCACCAACTCCCTGGGGATGTTCTGTCCTTAGTCTTTATTATTGATTTGTTAAAAATCAAGCCCTAGTGAAATGATGGCAAACATCTTTCGGGACTGACCTGAAATGAAGAGAATATTCATTGCTGATCACTTGATTAAAAAAAAAAAAAAAAATCAAGCCCTAAATTCTCTTTATAGCTGCTACATGTTTCAAATTTTAATCAAACAACACGAAATGTACTCATTTGTTCATGAGGTGCTGCCACAAATGTCCTACCTCAAAGGAAAAGACAGTGTCCTTTCAATTCTAGAAATGATTGCTGCATCACTGCTATTCGTGTCTGAGATGAAATGCCCAGAAGAGAAAGGCAGACAGACTTTCTAGTTTTCAGACACAAATAATAAGCACCTACTATGTGTCATGCCCATTTAAAATTCATGGTGTGCTGGGGAAGATGGGCAAGTCAGTGCAAGACAACCAAATCTTATGAGGAGTCTGCAGGTACATTAGGAATGACAGACGTTATAGCAACCTGTCTGCCTACCTGTCCAACCAACCATCCATCCTATAATACATACTGAGAGCTGACAGTGAGCACAAGATACAGGAGAAAGCAAAGCTGATGTGGGCCCTACTCTAATGGATCCTTTACTAATAGGGAAAGACATTAACCGAACTGTCACATGAACAAACACATCACTATAATCTGTGTTAAGTGCCACCTCTTCTAGGAAGTCTTCCTAGAAGGATACACACATCCTTCATGCCTAGACCCCAGCATGCAATATGTCCTGCCAGTGTCTCTCGGCATCAGTAGCTTCTCTCTATGAAGATCAGATTGTCAATCAGACACTGGAAGCTTCCTGTCTTAATACTAATCACAAGCTTGCACATTCGGTGCTCACTGATTTTTGCATTAAGCTCTAAATTCAACTCACCAGAAAAATCTAGCTCACACTCACTTCTCAGGGCAGCTTGATTCAACCTGAAATGATACTTTCAGATGCTGCAATACAAGTTCTCAACCCCCCGGATACTTTGGGAAACATTTAGAGTGAACACTTTATCAATTATTCAATTCAAACAGCACAGGAGCACCTCTCCTTTCTCTTTGTATCTGGGTAGGTATCTACCCGAGAGGATGCTGACTTCTCCTGAAGACTGTTCCCAGGGTTCTCACACCTCTCGATGCTGCCAACAAACAAAGATTCAAACACTAGCATCAGACTTACTGAGTCGTGAGGTCCAGCTTGGCTCTCCTTTCCTTTCGAGAGCTGAGGTTCTTTATTCCTGCTTAAACCCTGATCACCTCAAAGTTCTCCAAGAGTTTCCCAAACGAGTGATTCCAACAATGTTAGCACTGCTTCCCTGATGTCAGAGGAAGCCGGAGACAGGTCTGCTGATGGATGTGCAAAGCAAAACCTTCCTCACTGAGCTTTGACAACAGCGGATTTGCAAAGGCAATCAGCACTTATTTTTTGTTGTTAAAAATATAAAAAGGGAGACAGGCTCCTAATCACTTAAGAGGTGTCACCCATTTCACACACTGTTACATTGAACCTCTCTTTCCTTTCTTCATTTTATTCTTATTTTTAAATATATATATACCGTGTTTCCCCGAAAATAAGACATCCTCTGAAAATAAGACCTAGCACATGGAAAGATAAGACATCCCCTGAAAATAAGACGTAGCGTAACTTTGGGAGAAAAAATTAAGATACTATCTTATTTTCGGGGAAACAGGGTATATATAATATATTATTGATTTTTTTACAGAGAGGAAGGGAGTGGGAAAGAGAGCTAGAAACATCGATGAAACATCGATCAGCTGCCTCCTGTACACCCCCTACTGGGAATGTGCCCGCAACCAAGGTACATGCCCTTGACCAGAATCAAACCTGGGACCTGATTTCAGTCCGCAGGCTGATGCTCTATCCACTGAGCCAAACCAGAAGACCAGAGAGGAATCGTTTCCCCCCTGAAAAATCTCATTTTTTTTTAAAAAAGAACTGTATTCATTTACACTTAAGAAAGGATACCCTTTTTGAGCAGCCAATAAGAACACATGTGCCACGGCCATTTTATTGGCAGGCTCTAACATTTTCAAATGTTAGCCCGAGTCCAAATCACCTGGAAGGTTTACTGAGAAGTGGACTGCTGGCCGCCACCCTCAAGAGTTTCTCACTCAGGTCTCAGGTGGGACCTCAGGATTTGTCATGGGTTTTTGTTTGTTTTTTCATGTATCTTTCTAAAAATTCAAATACCATTCTGATCACTCATGGTCCAAGAACATTGAAATAATAAACCAAAAAGAAAGAGATGTTAAAGATTGATCTTCAGACATTATGCCAGTGATGCCACGCTTGCCTGTGATCTCAATGACAGAAAACCACATCCACACCCCAGAGGCCATCGAACCGTTTGGAATATTTTCCTTAACTGTGAGCTGCTGGATGCTGCCAGTTTGGGCACTACTATTTTTTTTTTTTTTTCAAGCTGTGAGTAGCTGTAAAGATCTCAGCAGGGGTTGGAGGAACCAGCTCCACCTTGGCATGGTGCCCAATGTGGCCAGTCACGGCTTCGAGGAAGTCACAGCGCGGGAGCCTTTCCTACAAGGGTACGGACAAACTGGGACATGATTCTAGGGTGCAAAGTCTGGTCTTGAGCGGCCAGCTGAATGTCACCCCCTCCCCATTGTAAAATGAGGATTTGTATTTTAACAAGTTTCTACAATAGTTAACAATGCTGCCAGCCTCCGCCCTCTCCTCCCCACCCCCAAAGGTGGGTGACAATCACACAGATGACTGGAATTTCACCGCCCATCCCCGTCTCCCTTTTGCCTGCCTTCATTCCTCACACTTGATATTCACCATATGGTTTTATCCTAAGCATGGCTGGGGCTCTTTGAAAGGAAAGTCTCATTGCTGCATACTGTAGCCATGAAAAATAAATCACAGGGAGGCTCCTGGCAGGCCCTCCGTGGTTGTATTACACGTGCTCGGCCTAAGTGCTTGGAGCACGGCGCCATGTACAGGTGCAAAACCAGTCAGTGTCTGAGTGGAATTGGCAGCAGGTTTAGTCCCTCCCCTCTGTGGAACGAAGGGCTCGGTAACCTAGTTGACTAAGCAGCACTGGGTTTCTTTCATTTAAGGGGGTTCGTCAGTGCTTAAAAGTGATAAAATGGTGAGTCTTGGATTGTACACATAGAACTAAAAGTGTATATATGTATAGTGTCCCCCAAAATGTATACACATACTTTGAATACTTATAAAGGCAGTATTTATTAAAATACATTTCATTTCCAAAATTGAGCTATCAGCTGCTAAAGTGTATGTACATTATTTTGGGACACCCTGTATAAATATATTTTTTTTTCTCAGTAGTTCAGCATCTTTAAAAGGTCCCAAGGGCAGACTGAGACGTGCGGAAGATATCTGTGCCAGCTGCCCATCTCCTGGTTCTCTTGGTGCAAATAGGACCTCAAGGGAGTGGCTCATAAAGGACAGTGTTCAGGTGCAGGGGGCGAGTCAGGGAAGAAGCCCGGTGTCCCCCTCTCTGTGAGTGTTCTGCTCCCCGATGGAGCAGAAGCAGAGTGGGGGGAGGTGGCCTCCAAGGCATGGAGAAAGGGGAGTGCCAAGGCAGGATCAGTCTGGTTCTCCACTGTGATTGTGGGTGTGAGATGTAAAGACCACCTAAAGTTCCCCAAGTAAAGTGTGTTGGGCAGAATGCACTGAAATTCCTTTGGAAAAACTACAATGATAAGTGTATAAAACCATATGTAATTAATTGGTAACTTAAAAAAAAAAGGTAATGACATTGGTGATGAGGGAGCTGGGTATTAAAGAACCTCCCTGGAGAGAACCTCTGACCAAACAATTCTAAGGGGCTCCAGATGGCAGAAAGGGAGCACCCTGCCCAGGGCTGGTTGGGGAACGAGGGCTAATGAGAGTTTAGACTGAAAATGATACAAAGCAGAGACCACGGAGCCACACAGTGGCCACAGTGAACCAAGAGCTCTCCTGACTGTGCCAGGCAGCACCGAAAGAGTAGACAACGAAGGCTCGAGGCTGTGTAAGGAAGAGCTACACACCTTGAAGAGTCCTGGTTTGATTAAAAATTTAAGACCTATCTATACAACTTTGCGTGAACGAGTATGGTGTTACATTCCACTTTCAACCAAAAATCACTCAGTCTCCGTTTAAATTCACAAACAATACTTTTCAAACACTCTATCAAGAGTAGCCATAAAATCCTTGTATATATTATTAATCATCCTACCAATTGATATACTCACTGAACTTAACACCCAGTTGCTCTCTTTAATGTGTTTCCAGTTTCAACGTTTTTTCTTTAAGTGAAAAGCCTTATCCTCATAGATCTTTCTGAAAGATTCTGACATAAAAATAAAGAAAGAAAAAGAATGCAACCACGGTCCTTTGCCCACCTGGTCCTTATCACACTATCTCAGCTTCTATCCCTGACCCCAGCACTCCATCTCCAGCAGAGCCACCAGGAAACCACAGGCACTTACAGCTCCCTGGATGGAGGACGGGCCAGTTCCTTCGTCCTCTTCCCCGTCTGGCTCCTGGTCTTCGTTGTCAGTCCAAGAGGATACGTCCTCTACCGAGCTAGTCAGATCAGGCAAACTCTTAGACGTTAACCTCAAGAGGTCCTCGGCAGAGGTTTCCTACGGGAACAAAAAGGTCCATGAATTACACAATGGCATCAGTGGTTCCAGGTCAAGGTAAAAAAAAAAACAGCAGAGTTTGCCAGGGGTGGTCACATGCTTCCAACCTGAACACTACATGAAACGTAGGTTCCACACTTCCAGGTTTGCAAGATTACCTCAAATGTCAGGGGTGTGCACCCAATTTCAACCCAAATAATTTTCCCCCCTGAAGAATCTGTGTTTCTTAGATGAATGTTTCTATGGTTAATCTAAGATCCTTGAACTTGTGATCTTCTGCCCTCCCTGTCTTGCTCTCAGGATACAGTTTAAATCCCTCATTGAGAGGATAACATCTTAGAGATCTGGCCTCTGTCCAGCTCTCCAAACTCATCTCTCACTATCTTTCCTTCCATTCCAGCCACATTGACTTCCAAACCCCCAGGTTGCCTCTGGCCCTATTATTGCTTTTTACCAGCAGCCCTCTCAGCCTAGACCAGTGATTGGCAAATTCAATAGTCAATGGAGCCAAATATCAACAGTACAACAACTGAAATTTCTTTTGAGAGCCAAATTTTTTAAATTTAAACTTCTTCTAATGCCACTTCTTCAAAATAATCTTGCCCAGGCCGTGATGTTTTGTGGAAGAGCCACACTCAAAGGGCCAAAGAGCCACATGTGGCTCATGAGTTGCAGTTTAACAACCACCCATCCTCATGACTAAGCCTCATGACTAAGGCTTACTTGGGCAAAGTGTGAGTACCCTTCCTGCAGGCCTTCCTGGATCCCATTAGGAGGCCTTCCACTTCCCTTTTCCCCTTCTAATGTCCTTTACTGTTTCTGTTATTGCCTTGCAATGCATGACCTGTCTATCTCCCCTACTTGTCCAAGAGTTTCCCAAACTGAACACCATTTCTGCTCATCACTGTGGCCCCAGGCCTAGCACAGAGTTTGAATACCCACTGTACCCTCCTCTCCCCTCTGCTCATCTCACTATGTTCATGAGAGAGATCATAGTTTTTAGAGAGTTCTTGTCAGTATTTTCTAAGAAGAATAGGTAAATTTTTAAAAACTCCTCCCTCCCTAATCACATTTTATAAAACTCTGATGAATTTTGAATATATGAGAGGATTTAAACATTCTCTAAATATGAATCTGTGGATTCAGCAAATTAACCTCATGGATATACTCCTTCAGTGCAGGGAATTTTCTTTTTCTGTTCCTTTTCTTTCACTGCAGTCTTGCTCACAGTACAGGTGTAGGGAGCAAACTCATTGTTTGTTTTTTAATTGATTTTTAGAGAGAAAGATAGAAACATTGATGAGAGAGAAACATCATTGATTGGCTGCCTCCTACATCCTCTCCAACGCCCCACCACAGTGGATAGTGCTTGGGGAGGTCTCCAAGTTCACATCACCATTGGAAATATTCAAAAAGCACAAAATTACCTACCTTGCTGGCCACGACCAGCTGAACCATTCCAGTGGCTGAACGAAGGATGGCCACAGCTTCCTCGTGGGACAGCCCGACCAGTAAGTGACCATTGATGACCAGCAGCTCATCTCCTAAGGACAGTCTGCCATCCCTGAGGAAACAGAGATGGGAGAAAATTCCCTTATCAAGACTTCCTAGGCCTGAGAAGGGACATTGTACTGGAGCCAGGAGGGTGGTGACAGAAAACAGTTAAAACCAGGCTAAAGAGAAGGCAGGGGCAATTAGAAGTATTGGGTTGGGAGTCAAACCCAAGTCTGCTTCTCTCCAATCTGTGGACCTTTGTTCCATTGTTTCCTTTCAACTAATCAGCCAACTTCCTTCCACTCTTCCCTCCCTCACCAGTTTCTTTCCATCCTCTAGGACTCGCATCATACTCTTTTCTATGAATTCAGGCTTTAAAAGAAGGAGGACAAGGGGCACCTGAGACTTCCAACTGCCTCTGAATCTGTCCTTCAAACATTCCTAAGGTGGAAAATGCCAAGGACCCCACTAGTTGCTTAGAATGGAGAGAGAAGGGGAAGAGAGCAAGCACAACACCAACCACAGAGGACACACACCTGGACCCTCAGGGAGGTGTGTGGTGAGTCACTGTGGAAGACAGGGATTCTGGAAGAATCCAATTGTTCTGGCCAGTGACCCCGGGATGACTTAACCACAGTACCACCTAGATCATCCCTGTTCCCATCCCGTTGTTTCCCTCTTTCACCCCATCTTGCTCTCCTGTTATTGATCAGAATGCCCATGTGTGAACTATACACCCCAGAGGCAGATAGTGACACATACATAACTCCTGGCTAAGGGTGAAAAGAAATGAGAAACCCACTATGAACAGCTCACAGAGAAAATAGACAAGAACCGCTCTATGTAAGCTTATCTCTGGGCACAGGAATTTCCTAATTGCCAACTTTCCAAAGACAGACTAGAACCTAAGACCTAGGACTAGTGGGGAAATGGCTACCCAGTGGGAGTTACTTAAAGCATACATCATTTGGGAAGTTTAATGATGCTCTCCTGGATAAAAATGAGCTTCATTCTTCAATAAATACTGTCACATAGATAAAAGATAAGTGTAGTTAATCTTATCTCTACTTTAGTCACTAGCCTACTTTCTAGTTAGAGGACTGGTTAGCAGGAAACAGTTAGTCTGTACCCTGGTTCTTTGGTTAATTTTCCAGTCTTTAGACTAAATAACCTTCAGCTCCTCAACTCCACCTCAAGAGATCTACTTGTGAGTGCCTTCTTGACCTTGGGCAGGCCAGTACTGCTTGGGTTTGCCACATCTCCCTCATTATCAGGGTACTTGGCCCAACCAATACAAATTCCAGAACACTACATTCTCCTTCTTACCAGACAAATTCTATTTATCTACTGTATACATGTGAGCATAAAACATGCACATACCCCACCGTGCCTTGCAAACAGCAGATGCCCTATGTACAGCAGGTCCTTGAATAACATTTCATTCAACAGCATTTCATTGAAATGTTTACGAGGTGCTATAAGAACTTAACACTTGTTTATACCAGCTAGCCTATGGTAAAACTGGCTTTTGTACATTGTTCTGCTTAAAGTTGCAGCACCTGTTGATGTTAAGTGAGGATTTACTGAACAGGGTAGCAATTAGACAGCATGGCCAAAGGCATGCCTTAAATTTTGGGACCGCTACATCCCTGTAATTCCAACAGGATTTCTTTGTGTTTTTTTTTTTTTTTTTTTTTTTTTTTTTGTAGACCTCTGCCTAAGCACTGTCTCTCTTCCTATTTCAGATAATTGTTCAGATTGGAAAAGTTTAGAGGTATGAATTTTTTCAGGTCACAAGGAGAAAGGTTCACATTTACTTTCCCCCCTTCACATTTGCAGGAAAAAGAGAGTGTATAAGTGTGCGTAGAATCCTGACAACACACGTGAACTGTGGTCATATTTAAAACCAATCACTTTCCCAAGTCATTAGTCACTGTTTTCTGAAAATTAGGATGTCAGGATGTGGTATTCTGTTATCTGGCACAGTCTTGATAAGAAACCACATATGACTGGCATCCAAAAGTTAGGATAAGTAACATTTGCTTGAAACTCCAAGTGGACTAAAAGAAATCACATTTCTCCATGATGGTTTGGGGAAACCTACAATATCCCCAGGTATTAGCCACTTCCTATGCTCAGAGATAGGTGTAAATAAAACCACTCAGGCCTGGTGTTCCTCTGTGCTCCAGCATAACCCTTGTGAATTGTAATGGCTAGTGCTTTGACCAAGTGGAAGACCCAGGGCCCAGGGGCAGGGAAGGGAGAGGATAAGAAGAGAAAGAGAAAGAGAGATAGAGTTAACTAGTCACCTGTGAGCGGCACCTCCTTCCTTCACTTGAGTGACAACGATAGCGTGAGGTGAGCGCTTTGATCCTCGGCCTCCACTAACCTGAATTCCCAGCCCATCTGATTCTTTAAGCAGTTCCAGCTTCCATATCCGGCCAACTTCCTCCTTGGAAGAAAAAGTGAGCACACCATGAAGTACACAGACAGAAGCACAGCACTGACGCAGGAGAGGGAAGGTGTTGAATCAGGTCTAATACTCATCACTTTTCAACAGACATCGCAGGTGACCACTGGAGACAAAATGCTTTGGATCAGAACAAGTCTCACTGGCAGTGCTGTCCAATAGAATGTTCTCCAATGATGGGAATGGTCTATGTTTGCACCATCCAACATGGAGTCCCAGCCACAGGTGGCTATTCAGTGCTTGAAATGTGAGAGGCAACTGACACAATAAATTTTAAACTTCATTTAATTGAAATAGCCACCTATTTAATGGCTAGCGGCAATGATACTAGACAGTACAGCAAGACTGATGATTGAATTCCCTGAGCAGGATTCTGTTAAGTGAAGCTGCTTGTGCCCGAAACCCAGATACCACTGTGCACACAGCTAGTAATTAATAAGGGAAGATGAAAGGGAGGCAAGCTAGGTCCTAGCGCCAGGAGACTTCCGCTACGGTGAGCCCAGCTCTGAAGCTTAGTACTTCTGAAAGTCACCTGATGCCTAAAAACATCAGTTTCCTTGCCTCTAAAGTAGGGATAATTATTAATATTTTAGGTTTATTATTAAGGTTAAATGAGATATTTATGTAAATAGGAGGCAATGATCTCAACATCTAGTTCCCCATTCTAGGTAGGTAATAAATGATAGGTAATCAAATATTACTTATAGTTGTAGAATCTGCATATGTGTTAAAAATATCACATTAAATTGAACCTAAAACTTCCTTAGAACATATAAATGATACCTTTGGTAGGAGAAACAAAAACAGTACATTGGTTGATGAATTTGTTATCGACTTCTACAGACATTGGTATATACACTCTTTCAATACATTAAAAAATTCAACTCACATTTAACCTCTTAAAAAAAGTGAATAAATATCTGTAAGTCCTCTGGACTACCCTTCTCTCAGAAACAGCCTCCCTGGCTCTCAAGGTCTCACTTAGCTCCACTGATTCAAAAAACACCTTTGAGAATCACTTAGCCTTTCTGATTCAGTTCATTTCCCATGGACTCCCCATTTCACTCCAAAGACATGAACATATTCCCACTGCTAAGTGTTTGAGTTCCCTCAGCTACTTAGCTTTTCTGAGAAAAGAAAGCAAAACCTGCCCAAGTAGTTTATTCTGAGTCTTATTTGGGCTCACACCTACAATTCTTTTTTAGCTTTAGACACATGGGTATGGGTCCCATTGCATTCTTCATCTGCTTTCTTCATGCATCATGAAGGTCCAATGGAACCATTAGTAAGGTCTCCTATGGACAAAGTTATCATCCTCCTAGAAATAGGCAATCTGCCCATTCAAGCTTCTGGCAAAAGAGAAGGAATGTGAAGCATTTAGAAAATCTGAAATACATACTGTCAGAAACTCAAATGAAACTTTATGCAATAGTAAAAAAACCAGATGTTGAATGGTCACTGATGTGCAGCAATAGGAATGTCTGGGGAAATTATTACCAGACAGAGACCTGTTGGATCCTAACTTTTTCTAGTGCTGCTCAGTGGGCTCCTTTACCCCAGCAACATGCAGTGGGTGCCAACTGTCTCCTTCATTCGCTCACCACAGACACACGAAGCCTGTCTGGCCAAATGTAACTTCAGAAGTCACTGGCTTACCACAGCAGTTCATGAACTTGTCAACAACCTCTATATCATCCCATTGGCTCACTTAGGATTCCACAGTTTTTGGTTTGTTGCCTCTGACCTCTGGAACACCTTTCTCTCTTCCCCATTCAGAAGCAGCCTCCCTGGCCCTCAACGTCTCACTTAGCTCCACTGACTCAAGAAACATCCTTGAAAATCAGTGCTACCAGAAGGATGGCCTATCAGATGGATAGCCCCTGAGGGAACAAATTTAGGGACACACTGGTTCTCTGTTGTCCTAGCTCGCTGGGCATCGCACACCAGCACATGGGTCAGCCTGTGGCTGCCTCCCTGGGCCTCATGACACAGTTGAGAAACTAGAGCAGACAGTGGCCTGACTTGCTTTTTCCTTGGAAGATATGCCAATGGCTCCCGGAGTCTTAAAGATATGGGCCAGTGCTTCGCCCTCTCTGTAGGAAAAGCCATAGAACTCTTTCCCAAGAGCCACGGGGACCACTATTAGAGTCTAGAAATATGAAAACTCATTTGGTTTTAGCTCAAATTAGTAAAAGCCTATCCATCCCCACTACTAGTTACACCACCATTTCCCCTGCCCTACTGTTCTTTTGTTAACGTGTTTAAGAACACGTTAGGTATGCCTCATAGATGGTGTGACAATACTAGATTTTTAAATCCTTTCAGAAATAGGACTTGTGATAAGAAACATGAGAAACTATAACTGGGAAAGAATAATAGCCTAATGTATCCTTGACAGAAAGTTAAACACAATTTTTGTCAAACGTGCCCACATATTCACTTCACACCCCCCACTCCATACTCCTGTCCCTGACCAAAGCAAAATAAAATACATGTCTAACAAAAATGGCTTCAGAGGGCAGAAAAAACAGTTTGTAACATAGTTTCCAAATATAGTTAAAAGCAAAATAAAATACATGTCTAAAAAAAATGGCTTCAGAGGGCAGGAAAAAGTTTGTAACATAGTCTCCAGATATATCAGTCAAGAAACACACCATCCCTCACCCTTTTATCCAATACATATTTTATTTATTTTTAATTATTTTTTGAATTAAAAAATATTTTTATTGATTTAGAGAGGAAAAAAGAGGGAGAGAAAGATAGAAGCATCAATGATGGAGAAAGAATCATTGATCGGCTGCCTCCTGCAGGCCCTCCACTGGGCATCAAGCCTGCAACTTGGGCATGTAGCCTTGACCAGAATCAAACCCAGGACCCTTCAGTCCACAGATTGACACTCTAGCTACTGAGCCAAAGTGGCTAGGGCTATTTTGTTTTTTCAATAATCGAAAGTAGGAATTCTAAGGAGAGAGGTCACAGAAAGTAATGCAAGCTTCCTTGCCTTGGAATTTCTTGGTCATCTAATCAGGAGTTCAAAGGAAGGCACAGACAGGAAGAGGCAGATGTTATCAGTCTCTATTGTACAACTGTCAGTATGGCATTAAATTTATCTGCATATAACTGAATGCAGTGCTCAGTTAAAAATAAAGTCAGTGTTTGAAGTTTATTTGGCAAAAGCTGGTACTGGCCAAACACCAACTGGCCAAATTAAATATGATAATATTAAGTATTATTAATATTATTACTGCCTCCTTACAGTTCCTCTTGCATATCTTATACACACTTCAGTATGGTCAAAACAGGTTTCTCCCCCCACCCCCCCCACTCTAGACTTTCCTATCTCAATGAGAAAAATACTATCATTTACTCAAGATAAACAGGATACACAACCCAAAAGCCCACGAGTTATCTTTGATTCCTACTTCTACTGCCTAACCCAAACCATGAGCAAGATCTTTAAGCTCTACTTGCAAAATAAACCCACATCCATCTCCTTCTGCCCCTCTTCCCTGCTACCATCTTGTCAAAGCCAGAGCACCTTTACCTTGGGTTATCACAATAGTCTCCAGCCTGGTCTTTCTTTTTAATCCTTCACCTCCTACAACCCAACTACACTCTGTTATACAAGTAGAGTGAACTTCAAAAAGCAAAACAAAACTCATGATGTTCTCATCTTAAACCTTTCAAGAGCTCCCTTAGAATGAGGCTAGCTTTTGATGATGGCATACACCACTCTTTGTAATTTAGCCCTGCCCACATCTCCCAAGTCACTCCTAGTGCTCTCCCTGTCACTCACTGTGCTTCAGTTTTTCTGCTCCTGGAACATTATCTTAGGGCAGTTGCATGTGCTGGCTGCTCCCAGATTTCCAGGGCTACCTTATCTTGACACTCTTCAGCTCAAACATTGCCTCTTTACTGAGGTCTTTGCTAATATCCAGTATCAGTTAGCCCCCGGCCCATAACACTGCCCAGCCACCACCTTTCACTTCATCTTGTTTTATTTCATTTATAGAACTCGTCACCATCTAACACTCTCATTTGTTTATTTGCTTACTTATTGCTTGTGGCTCCTTCCATGTGATAAATGCCAAGGTAACCTTGTCTCTCATTTACCAATGGGTTCTTTATAACAGCTCGAACAGTGCCTCACACATAACAACATGCATAAGTGCCATGAAATGAACAGTTCTAAGATGTTTATCCACAAATCTTACAGTTCTTCAGAAGTTATTGAGACTGACATTAAGAGGCTGGCTCAGATGCGAGACCTGTGTGTTTGCCAATGTTCAGCGTGTGAACACTGATCCAGTTGTAGACACAATTGAGTTCTGAAACAGATCCCGTCTAGACAGATGGCTCAGCCTGCGGTTCCCTTCACGCAGGCGTAAAGGGCAATGAGACTTTGTCAGTCTGGTGAGAAAAGCCAAACCACAAAATTGGACGCTATGGACTCCTGCATGGATGCCACCAGAGGGCTACTTTTCCTATTAAGCGCCATATACGTGCACCGCTTCATGGAGGCAAACAAGGGGGTTTGTTTACCAACAGGTTGGCACATTAAAGGGAGCTATCTCGGCCACATTTAAATGACCCTCATTTTCTTCTGGGACCAAAAATAAATTTTTATAACAGCATCTTTGCCCCAAATGTGAGAAGACACATCATCCAACTAGAATTTCACTGCAGTAAATACTCTGGCTCTGATTATAATCCTATTCTAAGACTGCTTGCTTCTCCCTTCTTATTTAGAATAGCCTGTAAGCTGTGAAGAAATGTGTGATCATAATGTCAAAGTTGCCATCCCTTAGTCATCAGACCAAAAGGCTGAGGCGAGATGGTGGAAGCTCAGAGAAAGGACACAGCAGCTGGAGAGCTGGGCTGGAACTTGGGTCCATCTTTCAAGCCTGGTGCTCTTGGGTGCCTTTATTAACTAATAGTTACAGAGCACCTACAGGTGCAAGGCACCGAGTTAGGAGAGAGAAACAAATAAGGTCTTTGCCTGTATAGTCTATTGGGAACACACAGCCAAATGGTGTGGAATCCGTGGGATTCATGCATTGGTGAGGATAAGCAGGGACTAGTGCAGGAGCCCAGAGAGTAAATGTCTGAAGATGGGGCAGGTTATGGAGCCTCCTTGAGAGGGTGTTATTGTGCTTGGTTTCCAGGAAAGTTAGAAGCTAAGCTACACTGAGGAAGGGAAAAGACTGTATAGTGAGAGCAGCATCTGCAAAGGCTCAGAGATAAGAGTGAGCATGGCCTTTTGGAAAAATCAAAACAAAACAACCATAACTCATCCAGCCCAAATCAAGGAGGCAGAAAGTTAAGGAGGGTTCAGATAATGCTGGGCCTCATGCACTATCCAAGCCAAGTTGCTTGGCTGTTACCCCAAAGGCAAGTGGACCTGTCAGAAGTGTTTAAGCGGCAGCGTATGCGGGCATGCCCATGCATGTGCAATGAGATGTACCCTCTGGTTGCAGTGGGGACAGCGGATGATGCAGTGAGAAGGGTAGGAGGCTACTGTGACCACCCAGATGAGACAAGAAAGCAGCCTAGCCCCAACCAAAGGTTGTGGGAGTGGAGAAAAGAGAAGTGGGGTGAGCAGGGAGTTCTTAAAGGAAGCAGAAGTTGACAGGACTTGGTGATTGACTGGACAAGGTGTCAGAGACAGAGGGCAGAATTTCAGCTGACTCCAGGACACCACTGTCCCCGGCTTGGGATAAAGGCATTTCCCACGACATGGGACTGTCATTGCAAAACCAGGGAAAGTTCTGGGCAAACCAGGATGAGTGGTCACTACTTGAGGCAGGTTTCTGGTTTGGGCAGCTTTTGGGTGGTGAGACCTGGAATGCTGGAGCAGACCTAGTGGTGTGGGAAAGGGATGCATTGAGGTTTAGGTATGATGTGAAATAATCAAGATGGAGACATCCTGCAGGCAATTGGCAAAAACTCGAGATTCAGGAGAGAGGTGAAGGTGTGGACACGGACTTAGGAGACATTACCATGTAGGAGAACATAAGTTCATTCGGTTACCTCAGGGGAGTTCCTAGAAGAGGATCATCCTGATGCTGCGTTTGCTAGCTGCAAACATCAGGGACCACCCGGGAGACGTCAATCTCCTGAGTTTCCCATCCTGCCCTGAAGATTAAGACCTTACTGAAGTCTCTGCTAAAGGCCTAAGGAAGGTCTGGTGCTGTATAGGGCAGGTTACAAGACAAAAGTCCCCAGGAACACATGCGCCAGCAGTGAATAACTCACCTGCCTGGCAAAGGGTAGGATTGTTTTTGTTAAGGGACTACCTTTGGTTGTATTCATTTTTATCATGCAGCATTGCAAAAATACTTCACATATGTCTAAACAGGCTTGCAAAAACTGTCACCTCAGATGAGTAATGCTCTCTACTAGAAGGAATAAGTAACTGAACACATCTCTAAAACTGTTTATCTATGTCCTAGGAGATTCTTATGTTTTAGATGATGGGCCCAAGTTCTGTATTTTTAAAAACGAATCTGGCTGCATCCCTATTATTTGTTAATATTTTATAGAACCATAAAAAATATGTGTTTTTTAAAAAGAAAGTATTTGTTAGAGAAAGTATTTTCCTACAGCTCTGGGATACAGGATATAAAAGCACATAAAAATCAGTAACAAATAACAGACTAAGAAAAAGGAGCACCTGACAATTAAACATGGTCTCACGATCACTATAAGTCTTCTCTGTAATTTATTAAGTTTTTTTTAGATATATTAAATCATTAATAAAGCAGAAACAGAACAGTTCTGACATGTTTAATCTCCATTATTCAAATGGATGGAATTTTCCCCCTGAAAGGCTTAAGAGGTAAACATAGCTAATATTTGTTTTTCTGGAAATTCCATTTTAGCACAACCTTGGGCTCATTCTGGAGTAAAAAATAAAAATGCACCCAGCCCAAGGACTTAAGTAACCTTCTGTGAAGATCTACTGGTTCCAATTTGGGTACCATCTGAATGTGGGGGAAAGAGGGGAAGCTACTTCTATCAATTGTTGATAAATGCAACTAATGATGACAATTTGGGGGTTGAAAAGGGTGCTAAAATATTCGTGTCTAAGAATATTCTGACTTTCCAAGACCAAGAGTCAGTAATAAAGTCTATAGATTATGGACAGGGATGAAAAATGCCAATTCCAGCTGGCAACTCTCTTCTTTCTATAGGCACATGGCAAAAACAAAACAAAACAAAACAAACAAAAAACCCCAAAGGCAATAGATCAAGTTTGTTTTTTCCCCGCCATTTTCTTTATATTTTCTTGGATATATGATCTTGAGTGCAAAAGTCAGGTACTCTGATAGTTGTAGTCTTCAGGTAGTCTAATGCAGAAGTTCAATTTTATATTATTTGCCTTTAATTAAGATGAGCAGAGGCCCGACTAGAGTGGCTCAGTGGTTGAGTGTTGACTTATAAACCAAAAGGTCACGGTTTAATTCAAGGTGAGGGCACATGCCTGGTTTGCAGGCTTGGCATCCAGTTTGGGAGGCAGCCGATCGATGATTCCCCTTCAACATCATTGATGTTTCTACCTCTCCCTTTCCCTTCCTCTCTCTGAAATCAACAATATATACATATATATATATATTTAAAAGATGAGTAAATGATGGTACTTTCTTAAAAGTTTGGTGTTTTTCTTTCTTTTAAGAGCATTCCAAATTATTTTCTCTTATCCTACAACAAATGAAAGCCTGTTCTTTAAATTGTATGTGAGAGTCAACCTTAAATTTTTGCTACCTAAACCTTCAAAATGATTAAAGATGTCAATACTCTCTAACTTATTTTTTTCATCTCAGGCTTTCTACAATATTTACAACCTAATCATTGGGGGGAGATCCTATCAAGATATAGTATACATTGACAAGGAATACACAGATTGTTCCAAAAACGGGTATACACACTTTAACTGCTAATGGCTCATTTCCTTTGTTTTGGCCAGACTAAGTATTTATTTTTATTTTTATTTTAGAATGATTATTATTATTTTTTGTAGTTTTTTTATTTTTTATTTTAATTTCTTTATTAAGGTATCACATATTTGTCCTCAACCCCCCATTCCAATTCCCTCCCACACTCATGCCCCCACCCCCCCTAGTTTCCTCAACCACTGGTTAGGCTCATATGTATGCACATAAGTCCTTTGGTTGATCTCTCTCTTTTATCCCCACCCTGCCTTTGAGGTCCAACAGTCTGACCCATGGCTCCTTATCTCTGGGTCTGTTCTTGTTCATTAGTCTATGTTGTTCACCATTTTCCCTCAGACTAAGTTTTGAACAAAGGGAATCCATCCTAAATTCTACTAGAAGTTTGAAAATGCAAGGTCCCAGGTTTGATTCCAGTCAAGGGCACACGCCTAGGTTGCAGGCTCAATCACCAGAAGGGAGTGTACAGGATTCTCTATCATCATTGATGTTTCTATCAATGATTCTCTATCATCATTGATGTTTCTATCTTTCTCTCCCTTCCTCTCTAAAATCAATAAAAACATAAAAAAAAAAAAAAAGAATCCATAGGAGTATCTGCCAAGAGGATTCTTGGAAAGAGCATGCTTAGCCTACAGAAATGTAAATTAATGAGAGAGAGCTGGATGAAACAGGGGAGACCACTTGAGGCTAGAAGCATGCCTCAGATGTGCTTCAGAATATACCACATCTGCTTTGCCTTTAGGTAGTAAGACCAGCCCTGACCATCACAGCTGGATATCATAGTATCAGAGATGTTTGTGAAGTTCCTAAACTTTGCTGGAATTTCAGCAGTGTAATAACATAATCCCATGAAAATGTCACTGGTTTTGAAGTGTTAAAAATAAAAGCAGATGCTTCCCTGCATGCTGGACATCCTTCCTGTGTAATACCGAGGCTTGGATATTTATGCTATCAACTGCCACCAGGAATTTTTGGCCTCACAGTGGCAATTTTCCTGGTGACAGCAGTGATAAATAATGATGCAGTTCAAGTACTTCATCTGGGCCTCATATGACTCAAATTATTCCACAGAAGGCTTGCATTTTCCACTTAGGATCACTCGACTCACTCTCTACTTAAGTAGGATGAAATGACTTGGACTTTTTGGTTGTTATTGCTATGTCCTCTGATCATTTATCTTAATAAGTGGCTTAGAAATGCAAGTTCACCTTAGACATATTTTCTAAGCTTTAAAAAGAGCAACTTCTAAAAAAAAACAAAAAAACTAAAAAAAAAAACACATTACTTTTACAATTCAGGTTCTGCAATCAAACCAAACCTTACCTTCGCCAGGCAGTCGCTTGATTGGAAGTCTGTCTTCCCCGATTTTGAGAAGTGGCATTTATCATTGCTTGTGGGCTGAGGAGTCTCTGTCTTTGGAACTCTGGGCTCCGTCCCTCTGTCTACTTCTGACCCGTCTAGATGGGATGCAGCCACTTCCTTGAGAGAGTCTGGGCCATTTTCTAGCTCAAAGGCATGGCCATTTCCAAGTTCTGGGTCTGGGCCATTGTTCAGCTCAGAGACATGGCCATTGTCCAGCTCACACCCAGTGCCGCTCTTGGATTCTTCAGTGGCCTTGTGGGTAGAAGGCCTGGAAATGACTCCAAACTTCCTTGTTCTCTTCCCCTTTTTCACGGTTCGGTCACCCAGCTCCAAGGTCGGTGTCTCTCCTGGCTCCGGGCTGTTGCCACTGTTGCCATTGTAAGGAGAATGGACCTTGTGCTTGAAGCGGCGCAGCATGATCAGGTAGAGGAAGCCGCCATTCCAGCACTGCTCAGCCAGGTAACTGCAGCAAACACAGACAATGGAGCGGTTAGGAGCCTCCAAGCGGCCTCTCCACAATGCAGCGGTGGGCACGCTCAGTGCCCCACACAGGACCCAGGCGATAAAGCAGATTGAGACTTAACACTCGTTTCATCCTTTTAATCTATATATAATTGTGGATGCTAAAAAGGGCTCCAAAACAAAGCAGAAAAAACAAGTGAACTAGAACTTCCTAATGAAAGTACCCTAGGATAGGTAATCAGAGAAGGATGCTCCTATTAACAGAGCCAATCCTAATACACCATTAAATTAAAGAGAAATCCCCCACTCAGCAACTTCTCCCATCAGAATTATCCTCGCCGCCCACTCATACGGTTCCGATGTAGTAACACTGCAAGCTCCCAGGGTAAAATAGATTGGGGGAAATGTGAAGCTCTGCTGTTAGGGTCAAAAAAATCAACTGCACAACAACAGGAACCTCTGCCTCCCAGCAGTTAAAGAAAAAAGGTGGGAGGTGGAGTGGTGTTGGCTGGTATCTAGAGGCAGCTGGCAGTAAGAACTGGCATGTGTGCCCCGCGTTAAAGGGATGTCAGCTTGTTTCTCAGTAATGTTCTGCTCTGGATTGTCCACAGCACACGTGGGCCATTGCCCGCAGTCTGGGCACCGCATGAAAAGGAACACTGACAAAGTGGAAAGCACAGACCCAGTGACCAGGACAAAAAGGCTGTGCCAAATGGTGTGAACCAGAAACAGTGGGAGGAAAGAGAAAGCCTTAGCTTGAAGAAAAGAAGAGCCAGCTCGGTTGTTTTCTTCATGTATTTCAGGGCTGCCAAACACAGAGAACAGGAAATAATAGAAATGAAACGATGCACATGAAGCCCGACACACACTAGTACTCCATTTCTTAAAGGATAATAAGAAAACAGAACATCAGACGGATGAGTAATTAGAGGTGATCACACCAAGTCATTAAAGCTTCAGCAAAGAAAATACTTGCTCAAAGTCAGGAAACCAGGCTGGGCTGGACCCTCCACCCATGCCATCCAAGATAAGGAAGCATGAACCCCAGATGAACCCAGGGACATGCCTTTGCCACTGGAACCTTGCCACATTCTACACATCACCAGTTCCCAAGCAAACAATGTCAACAGCCAAGTCCTTAATGAGTTAGACCTGCTGCTGGCCTTCATGCACCCACCAAGGAAAGGCCTTCATCTTCAATCAGGGAAGAACAGAACCTTCCTGAGTATACCAACCTAGCAACACACCCTCTAGCCTTGAAACCAGCCCTGTGAGCTGGGCAGTTTTTGCATGGTAAGGGGAGATGACCAACTATGTTTAAATTGCAAAATTCTGGGCCAGAGGCATATATTCCCCATACCTAATGCAATGACAGTGACTAACTGATGAAAAGAATAATTCAGAATTTGCCATGGAGTAAAGTGAACAAAACAGAAGGGCCTTTACACATCAATCAAAGCTAATAAAAACTCTCTTTGATCCCAGACCACTGGTTGGCAAACTCATTAGTCAACAGAGCCAGATATGACGATGAAATTTATTTTGAGAGCCAAATTTTTTAAACTTAAACTTCTTCTTACGTCACTTCTTCTAAACAGACTCACCCAGGCCGTGGTATTTTGTGGAAGAGTCACACTCAAGGGGCCAAAGAAGCGCATGTGGCTCGCAAGTCACAGTTTGCCGACCACTGTCCTGAGCTATAAACCATGGAAATGAACTTACACATAAAACCCAGTAGATAAAAGATATACAAGACTCAGATTGTTCTGGGAAATACTGTGGGAGGAAGAGGTATAAAGACCAATCTACTGGAGTATAGTAATGAAAATGAAACCTGGTTTTCTGCATAAATTTTCTACAGTGTTTAGATTTTATTTCCTTGAAATGTCGTGGTCTCTTTTCTCACAATAGAAAAATTCTTACAAAAGTATAAAATCCTAACAGCAGTTGGCCAGGTTGTAAGGGTTTCTTTGAGCAAACCACTATTATGAATATAATGCAGACACTCAGATGTTATGGAAAAACAGGTGTTGTGCAGTAGTAAAAACAGGACCAGGATGAGCATTCGATGCCCAAAGTTCTGCCTTTCGCCCAACCGTGTAAAACAACAGTAATTTCCCCCAATTTTTATCAACTGGGGAATATATACACAACATGTGGTACATCCACATAATGGAATATTATTTGGTGATAAAAAGTAAGAAGTATATGCTACAACTTAGGTGAAGCTTGGAAACATGCTAAGTGAAAGATGCCAGACCACCTATGTGGTTCCACTAATTGCCCATGTTCAGAATATGCAAATTCATTAAGATGAAAAGTAGATTAGTGGTTTCCAGAAATTAGAGGAAGGGGAAAACGGGGACTGACTGCTAATAGGCACAGGGTTGTTTTTTTGTTTTTGTTTTTGTTTTGGTGGGGGGGGTGGGGGGGATGGGAATGTTCTCGAACTAGGTAATGGTGAATTAGATATACCCTCTTAAAATACAGTGGAATTAGATATATCTCCTTTAAAATGGCGAATTTTATGTTATTTAAATTATGTTTCAATTAAGAAAACAATAGCAAATGAAACAATATTGGTCAAGTTTTGAGTCCACTTTTGAGTAGGTAAGCCCTAAGAAGTGTTTACAGAAGAAGAACCTGAGGCTCAGAAATATTGATTCACTTGCCCAGGTTCCCATGCTGCGAAATGGGAGACCCAGGCCTGTCTGATCCCCAAGCCCATGCTATGTTTGCTGTGCAATTCTGCTTCTTCCATTGCTACTTTCCCAGGCGCTGCAGTCCCCTCAATTATAAAATGAAGAGCTACAATGGGTTCATCTAAGTTACTTTCACCTTCTCACAACTGTGGATGCTACTGTCCCAGGAAGAGTTCTGGGGGTTAAAGGAGCAAGCCTCCCAACAATCCTGTACAATGCCAAGGACAAAACATCACCCTGGAAAAACAGAAATGTTCTTCTTACATCTGAGTTGTCTAGGCCTCTTGGACATTTACCAACAAACTGAGAGAGATTTCACCTGGGTGGGGGTGGGGTGGGTGCGTGTCAATTCCTTTAAAATTATTTTTGGGACTCTACCTTTTGTACTGAAACGCTGAACAACTTGGTGGGTTGTACACAAGGACCTTCTTTTCAGCACCCAAAAGGCTAGCCCACTGACTCAAAAGTATCTTTCCCATCTCTACTCTCAGGAAAGCTCTACAAACCTTGGACGGTTCCATGACTAAGAGTATTTTATTCTCTGAAGAGTCCACACTCGGCAATGGTACAAAGCAAGAGGAGTTGATCTTTAGTTCAGCACCACCTCCTTGTCCTCTCCTAGCTTCCTAGCAATAAATAAGACCCTGACACCTTCAGGGAACTGTATGACAGGTTGTTTTATTTCTTCCTGAACGCAGAATTTTCTAAGGTCACCCCAAAGATAAAGTGTAGTGAATGAATTATGGACACTCTAGCAAGTTGGTCAGGGAGACTTTTAGGTAGAGAGTAATTTTCTTACAATTATTTGAGAATCACCTTAAATCCAATGCCTCACATTTCCTAACATTTCTAGCACCTTCCTGGCTAATTCATACTTCCACATCCCCTTTTCAGGAGGATTCTTAGCCACTATTAGAATCTGTAAACTTCAAAGTCAACCTTTGAGAAAGAAGAAATGGAATGCAATCTCATAATTTAGAAAAAGTCTTGCCCAGGCCAGTATTGCTCAGTAGTAGGAACTGAGCCATACTGGTTCCAACCTCTAGCTTAGAACCCTGCCTTGGAATGTGTGTGGTTCTTCATTTCACTCCACCTTTGCAGGCATCTTTCGGAACAGATCCTTTCCTTCTCCCTTCTCCTAAAAAAGTGCTTTGTACGAATAATGTTTTGAGTACCTCCTCTGTTTCTTGAAGCCCTGTCATAATTCTGGAGTCTGAGCTGTTCAGGGATTGGCAGATGAGATTGGTGCTTGGAAAAGCTGAAGTCTGGAGTTGGAAGAACATGAAAATGGAGAGGTAGGAGACAAGAGAGGGAGGTATTGGAAGGCCAAAGACATGCATTATTTATCCATGCCTCGATTCCATCAAAAGAGGGTTTGAGGGAGCTATAAAAGTTTGATATCCTGGATGATTTGGCCAAAGCCCTCGGAAGGAGCAATCTCCAGGTGACTTTGAAAATCATTTTGGGCACTCAGCCATCAATTCCTGAAGCCTGGCACACAGTGTGAACCCACAAAGGGGTGCTGCCAAGCTGAACCACGAGTGTCTCTCCATGTGTAATTGAGAGTAACCTGGCACCACCAGCGGGCACTGGCCTGTACTACAGTGCCATGAAAACATGGCATAATTCAGAGAACACATGAAGGAATTCTGACCTCGGACTTTTCACCAAAGCAGACATTCATCTGACTATGCCAGGTTCCCAGGGGACAGCAGGAGGATAAACACTATGACTACAAGAAGATGTTTATAGACAACAATTATGACAAAGCCTGAGCTTTATGAAATGGAACCAGCTGTTCACAGCACCTGGTCTAACACACAGGACAAACGGAGATAAATTTTTCTTGCCTAAGAAGTAGTGGGAGGCTGAAAATCTGTTTGTGGTCCTCTGAAAACCTGCTAAACCAAATTAATCCAGAGGGCTGTCTGAGGTTGTGTGTTTATCTGTTGGTTCCCAGAGAACAATGGTTTGAGAGGAAGTGTTAAATACATAGATTACTTTCCCAGTGAAGACTTGGCTGGGAAACAGAGGAAGGCAAGTATGGGCAGCTCTATAAGAGAGGATGGGAAGATGATGATCATTATTTCCTGGAGTCATTTAGTAACCACGTCCCCCCAGGGCAGCCTCTCTCAGGTGTGGCCTCCCAGCTACGATGAATCTGGGGCATACTTCTCCCAGATTCCACAACCCTCCTTAGTAAGAGCCAAACTGTCTTTGGAAGATGCTGAAAGTGGTGCTGATAAGAGTGAATGATATCCTTGGTGCTTATAAGGCCTTTTCTGAAAATCAGTCAATG